TATTGACTGGAAAACGCAATAAAAAATCGGCCGTGATGGAGAAATATTATTAATATAAACGGCGTCACTGTATATATGCATACGCACATGGCACACACATGCATACTAATACAACATACCTATATATATAATAAAAATAATATTTCAAATATTACTGATGATGTAATTATGAAGGTGGATGCCCATATCGGATTTAACAATGTATGCGCATGGATGGTTGTTCCTTGTCGTGGAGGAATACCTATAATGTACCTGATATATACGTAAGAATATAATAGAAAAGAAAAGAAAAAAATTAAACCTTTAAAAATAATAATAACGTCCATTTGCATTTGAAAATTAAAAATTATACATAATTATTCGGTTACGGTTCGGAATAATATTATGTATAGGTAGGTACACGTAGTAGGTATAATAATACAATATATAATGTATTATTATAATGGTGCAGACCCAGTTAATATGCCCATCAATATGTACTATAATAATATTGTATGACGATCGATTTGGAACGAGAAATGGGAATATATATTATATATTATTAGAAAATGTTGTATATATAAGTGGTATGTGTAACCATTATTGTTGCAGCTACCGCCGCTGCCGCTGCCGTTTTGGGACGACCACTGTTTGAACTAATTACAATAATCGCTTATGACTTTCCTACTTGACGTATTTATTATTATTATTATTAAGGGTCACGCTGCACTTGTTATTATAATCGATTTCCATACAGACAATGGACACTCAGCATCAGTAAGTACTTTTACGCGCCTATAAATATTATAAGACTGCATTTATTGACGGCGGTCATTAGGTATTATACACTATTGTAATAATATGTCACTAAATACTTTGACTCCGAATATGGTTATGCGTCTGTAGGACTGTACCTAACCAACTACCTATAAATTAATAGGTGTGTCAAACTAACAAGTTGAAAATAAAATATTATACCTTTGTAAATACATAATATTATACAGTTCAAAGTTATGATGAATTCATCAAATAATCAAGAATAGAATTATATTGATTTTTTTTTCATAACTATAATATTTTGTGTTCAAATGTGTTAAATTTCTGACTATTTAAAAAATTAATAGAAGGAGCATGTAGGAATATATAAATATATTTAACTATTTCAAAATAAATTATAAAATTGATTACCTACCTAGTGATAAAACATAGGAATACATACCTCATTTTCTCATACTTAAAATTATTTTATATGTAAGTCTTAAAGAATTTTACATTAAAAAAGTATGGTGTTAGGTATTAAGGTATCTACTTAAAAAATTACTTAAAAAAAAAATACAATACATTATATCATAGTATGTAGTTGGAAAATATTGTAATCACATATTATGTGAATAATTTGCTAACGGAAAGTGTGCAAATGAATGACCATTACCTATAGTATGTTTTGTTATCAAAAAACTATTAAGTTTGCACATGATATGAAGTATGTACAGCTAATTACACGCTTAATAAAATATATTGTTATCAGTTATCACTTATCAGCGTTCACCTACAATAATGGTCGACCAATGCATATCAAGTCTCAATAAATTTCATCGACCACCGTGTAGCTCACAACTATTATTATTATTACCAAAGAACGATTGCAACTGAATATTGATTATTACTACTATTTGTAATGGTTATGTAGGTATAAGTGTAAAATATAAACTTGAATATTGGTTTCAGTGTGTTGTACATTGTTGTGGTTTAAAAGTAATAAAATTGTACACTATAGTTCATAAAAAAAATCTGATAAATATTAGTCATTGTTTAACTACATATCCAACTACCATTTCACATTCAAACTAAACATAAAATACTTATATCTCTTTTCTTAGAAATAATTACAATGTGTTAATATTTTTGTCATTACTTCTAACATAATATATAATATTAAATACTAATATATATTATGTACACACACATATTGTATTATTATATTATATGTTTATATTTTATATACTATATATCCGTTAAAACGTACAAATGTTAAGTTATCACTTATTAGGTAGGTATAATTAACTATTTGTGGTAGATATCTTTTTTCAAGGTAAATTCAATAATGAAAACTATTTTATCTATAGAACATAATGCACACGTATAAAACCTAAGCGTCAAAATAACTATCGAAATTTAACGAGATAATAATACAAATTGTAACCGCTGTACACCACTATTATACTAAACTGTTTAGCTCTTTGAAAAAAAGGTCGGCTGTTAGGGTGTGTGGACGTATAGTTCTGTCTTATTGTATTGAAGAAATCAACATTCATTCGAAAACAAATACCAAAATTATGATTAAAATAACGAGAAATGTTAAATTTTATTGTTTCCATATAAATATAACGATGCTACATAGCAGGTGTTTCATAGATAAGGCTACAAAAATAATGATATTATTTTTAAATAAAAAATTACCATTTTGCATGTACGTATAGTTGAAATAAATATACATTTTGTTTAGAAAATAACACAACAGGTGAATAGTGTAAATTAATTTATTGTATTTGTGCTAATTACCCATTTACAATTGCCGTTTATTATTACACACCTATGGGATTGTTGCCGGCATTGTGTAGCGACACACATATTTTTTTAAATGAAAATCATTGTACGTATTATAATTTTTTTCTTCGGAATATTGCTTTCCCTATCATCAAACTAACATATTACTATTAATATTGTAATGAACTAAAAATTAATATTTACATATGTATAGTTTACTAAATTGCAAAACATCATTAGACGGCATTTGTCGTTATTAGAGAATTCGGGTTTTTTTCCCCATCGCATGGTGATTGGAATAATAAATTAACGAGTGTGCGCGTTTATATTTAGTAATTATGATTTTTTTTTAATAATTATTGTTACGGACACGCCAATGCTTTCACGTTTATACTATACTATAATGTTTACATTACGGGTAGGTTCAGGCCGTGTAGTATAGTTTATATAACACTACAAGGTATTCAATTGCACAAGGTATACAATAATATTGTCTACATTCGACAATTGTGTTTTATTCAATAGGTACGGACAAAAACTAAACGTAGACAAATATAATATATATAGTCTATCACAAAGTCCTACAATTCGATATAAAACCATACAAAATTCACTGATGCGGAATAATTTATTAACTATTATACTTATACTCATATGAATTATACTTTTTTGAAAAATATATTTTGGATCTTAATATCCGTAGCATTCAGCATTTTAATGATTACCGACTTAATATCATTATACGGTATAGCTTAAAATATTATTCACAACTGTATTGTACATTATTGACAAATATCAACACTTGATGAAATATAGGGATGAGTTTTCAATATTTGAAAACTTTTTGTAAAGGTTTTACTTAACACATAACACGGTTTAAATTGTAACGAATAAATAATTTATTAGGTTTAGATCTTTTTCTTCGTTATTGATTAGTATAATATAATTTTGATCATATTATTAATAATAATAACTATCCATAGGTACAGTAAGTTAAACCTATTTAGTTTAGCTTGATTTTGCTGTAACTTGTATTTTATGATATTTAACTATAGTCAAACAATTCGCTACAAATATTAATTCCTATTAATGCTTGTTGACGTGATTATAAATATTATAGGTATGCGTAAGTACCTATCTAAAATTCGAAATTAATTCAGAATTAAGTAATACCTACCTACTTTATACCTAATACGGTATAAGAATTTGATCTTTATAAGAGTACACGCCATCTATTACAAACTGAACAGATTAAAATATATATTTCATAAAAACAATTTTTAGTTCCGACCTCTGACCTGAGTTTGAAATAAAATCGTCAATTTTAAAGGCATTGTTATTATAATGGTAAAGAGAAGATCGAACGTAAAATGGAAAAAAAGGCAATAACACGGCCTCTCGATTATTATTATTACAGACTTGTCAGAAATTGGTATTGTGTTGCAATGGTGAATATTTTATATTAGGTTGGCTACGCACAAACCTTATACAGAGACCGAGTCCATTATTATTAAATGAAATAATAAAAATAAAACCGATACTTTTTTATAGCCAAATAAAACAAAAACCGAAAAATATATATAATACATGCATGAGACGTGTTTTATTTGGAACAGACGTGGAGGCAACGTATAACCAGGCGGCCGTAAATCTATACGGTTTGGTCGATTTTTTTTAATATCTGATTTTAAACGTCACGTTTACGATTTCGTCAGGACTCATGAAAATTCGCTTTACAAAGAATCAAGGGATATAAAATATGCTCATGTTTGTAGATTTGAATTTACACAACTTGTTTCTACACATGAAGTATGTACATCCATTTTTATACAAGGCCAAGAATTGTTTATTATAATAATTTTTTAAGTTATCATGTAATATACTGTTCGTATTGTTACAGATACATCTTATAATAATAATATTTTGTAACGGTGTAATATTCTTAAAAGGATATTTTCAAAAATGCTTTATATTTAATTATAATTATATTGTGTTAATAACAATATATCCGGCATGCAATTAAAGACCGTATACAAATTAAATACGGAGAAAACGATACTCGGACTCTGTTACTGCAAATTAAATTAAATATTAAATTTTTCATTTGTTAATGGCCAAGAATGTCGAGGTTTTATAGCTATATTTTACATGCTATAAATCATTACACGCTCGTGTTTAGATCACTCGGAAATATATTTTAATTTTAATAATATCAGTTTTTATGGAAACTACATGGACTATACCTTTTGTATTTGTATTTTTTCATTAAAGAACATTACACGAATGGAATTTTTATTTATATTTTTTTGCGATAATATTATTATATACTAGACTTATAGCATCGTAAAAACATCCATTATTTTCCATTTGAGTTATTATTTTTTTTTCTAACATTGTACGCAAATAAGTGGTGACATTACCGATGCTAATCCAGAAACAAAATAATAATAATAAAAACTTGTAATTTCACATACCTTGTTCCTGCATGTAACTGAACAGCGAATCCAGGAAACTGCGTCTGTCCGTTTCGTTGCCCGCCGTATATAGCTGAAACATATAAAGGTATGAGTCAATATTGCGATTATATAGTTTTTACATGTTTGTAAATTTGTTGTGAATTTTTTTTTAAGTTTTGAATTTTTTGGTTTTTATAAATAAATATAACATTGGGACTATATGTAAAAACAGTTAATAATTTCGATGTATACTGTCGAAACCAGTGACAATTACCAACGATGCCTAATGGGTATAGATTACGTTTTTGAAAGTGTAACAAGATCGAAAGTTGGTACACCATATTATTATAAAACAATATAATATTACATTCAGGCAATAAATGTTTATAGAGATCACGAAATTTCGTACCGCAAGTTCTAGATTACACTCATCAAAACATACTTTATTTTATTTTATAATCTTCACATTACAGGCTTTGTGTGTGTTTACATAGTCGTATTGTAATATACAATGACATTAATCAAGAATTGCCGCAAAAGGTACATTTTATTTATAGTCGATAAAAAGTATTGGTATAGGTACCTATTTTAAAACAAAGCCTTTACACACAGTTTTATAAAGAATCACTGGGACATTTTTTTATTCATATACTGCACGTAATTAACTTCTCAAAAGGTAAAAAATATGTTTTACTCGTTCATCGAACAAATATTATTAAAAACGCTATATTATAGGTAAGTTTTTTTTCCTTGCCTAGGTGACACCTTAATAACACGTTTGCTTGGCGCAAAGACAATAGTTCCCACGGCAATTAAACGCTTAGGTATTCATCCGCATGTAAATACCGACGGAGTGTACATAGTTTCTATTTTTCTATACAGATAAAATATATGATGGAATTTGTTTTCGGTCCGTATCGAAACACTCCACTCTACACGCATTACATTATATATAGGTACATTTCTCCATAAACGAACCGCGCTAAACGAAATTAATGGTTTCCGTGTCATTGTTAAATTAATAATTATAATAGTAATAATAATAATAATAATAATAATAATAATAATACAAAAAATTTATAATAATAAAAAAAATCTGAGACGTAGGATTTTTCCTTACGTACACGAACGCGGTCCGATCGGAGGTCCTGCGGAGTTCAAGGGGTCTAATGCGCGTCTAATTAATTGGCTTTTCATGGCGTGGTAGTAAAAATAATATTAATTACCAGCCGTTTATCGTATCTGCAGCTATTCGCCTCTTCTATTGTTATTATTTATATTGTGATTATTGTTTAATGGCAGTGATCCCACTGTGATCGAGACCTAATCTCTTGGGCATTACATATTCGGGTAGACGGCGGCGCGTGGTATGGTATAGATGGGAAGGATGGGCTGTGGAGGTAATTCACCACGAATGATGAGAGGGTGGAAATGAGGGGGGGGGCACTCGAGCATTGTTTATTGGTATATTGTTGTTTATACTATAATATATATGTATATGTTTTTTGTTATTATTATTTAATTTAGTTTCTCGTTTTTATTATCACACTGTGTATAATATATGTATATATAAATATAATAATATAATATTATTATAGCCTATCGTAACCTATTAGCTTGCGCGATAATGTTTGATTTCTGTATAGACGCGATTCTCGGCCCACGCGTGCACGACCAGCGAGCAGTCACGAACCACTGTAGCAGCAATCGGATGTAATTCGATAATATAATACGGAGTCGGGCGTTTGAATAATAATAACAATTTTATAATCCTGCTGCATACGGACGCGGTCGTTCATCATTTACTCGAGTGCCCGAAACACTGGCCCGTGGCTGTTTTTTGACATCGACCGAATACCGATTTACATATATATATATATTTATTTACGCAGCAAGACATTTATTTTATAATAAAATAATATAATATTAATATCATTATTGCAATGTTACCATCAGACGACTAAAAAGTGTTTATTTCGTGCACATAAATGTATAAATATTAAATATAGGGATTACAAATGCATTAAAACTATATTATTATACTTTAGACCACAAAATATGTACATATTTAGTTGGTGCGCAGAAAATAAAACAAATACGTCGACAAATGTAAAGAGATACATCATCATGGGATGAAATCGATATGTAAACGGCACGTAATCACTGATGTAGTGAGAAAAAAATATTGTTACGCCCACTGTGTATTTTTTAAATTGACTCAAACCTCAAGTGTTGAAATTTTAAACGGATTCTACTTCGTATAAAATAATAAATATGTCTTAAAATATAGGTGTTAACAATTAAATAAACAAGGTTGCAGGGTAATGTAATAAATGTTTTAAGTTTCACATTAACAAATCTAAAATATTCTGCTGTACACTGTATCAATATAACGTCGATGAAATAATTAACAGTTCTAATAAAATATTATAGAATTAAAAAAAGTATGTATTAATAATCTTAAAAACTTTTATATGTATTCTCTTATTGGTTTATACCTATTCAACTAGCTATGATATTATTTATTATAATTAAATTATTTTTTATTTTTCGAAATGCCTCGACAAAAAGAGAAAGAACTGTGCTTAATTTACATAACAACTGGAAAACCATTGTATATAACTTCCCTAGACAAACTATAAAATAACAAAATGTCGTAACTCTAATACTCTATGTCTCTTTGTACCTATATAATAGTGTGTTGTCTCGTTGTTGACAAACCAGAACCGATTAACAAGTATGTGTAATTATTATATTTAGTAATAACCTTTTCAATGTGATTAAACCACCGATGTAATGACATAATATTATATGACCGTATCGTTAAGATTTGAAAGATTATCCTTATCAGTTACCTACCGCTTATCGTTGTATTGAAGATATTATGATGTGAGGACGGATCTGCCGACAATCCCAGCCACCGTTCCCCCTTAGAAAATAAATGATGGCATTGTCAACACATCGTATATAGGTGTCAACATTTGGTTAACCACATACACACACGAGAGCGCGGTTTTTGTAATCATTGGGTTGCACAAACACCCGGTGGACAGGGTCTTAAGAGATGATGGTCTCGTGAACACGAATAAAAGGACTCGTCGCATAGGTGTAGATTAGTGCGTGTATAACATGTTTTCGGCCCCACGCTGAGCCTTATTCCGATAATCATTCAACGCATTTAAAAACATTATTATTATATAAAAATGACAACAATACGTCGCAGGAGGGAAAACGACGAAAAACGTCTCATTAGCGAGGATTGCATTATTATTATCATATCTCGTCCTTTGTTGTTTCTATTATATTATAGTCATAAAGATACGCATGAACTGTCTGTTTTCTCCAATTTCGATTTTTACGGTCGAAAATTATTCTACCGTCAATAAAGAATAGTGTGTCAAGTGAGCCAGTAAATAATTTTTAATTCCAAATAAAATGTAGCCACTGTCTCGATCGTATTTGGTCATAGTTGATCAAATAAATTATTTTGAATTTTTTCTTTTGAGTATATTACGTATATTATAGCAATCATAATATACATTATAAACACTAAAATGTAACTTAAAAATCATGAGTTGTAAAGGTAGTGTAGTTACTAGTTATTTACTTGTATATGTACTTATAGTTTATACGTATACATAACTATCTACCTATATTTTATTATTTATATTGAACATTGCAACCTTGCACATAGTTACAAAATAGCTGACATTTTAATAAAATAGAAAATATAAACATGTAGTAATACGCAGAATAAGATAAAAATAATTTTAGAAATGAAACAAAGTATTTAAATTTGTTGAAAATTACCAAGCAAACAATATTATAATTATTAAATTCATTAAAATATAATTGACCAAAAATGTGAATACAATTATTAATTATTATGTACGTTTATACGTAGGTACAATATTTTATGGTATTTAAAATCGAATAATCTAAAGTTATGTTTGAAGTTAAAATATAACTCAGAAATATAGATTGATTAGATAAGGTTTAAACCGTAAAAGGTTAACTATAACAAATTATATAGGTATTGATTCAAGTGTAAATGTCTCACTTATTATTCAAATACTAAAAATGTATTATTTTGTGTTCAATAATGTTCTATTGCGTTACATGCATTTGGAAAAAATTAAGTACTTATCAGCTGCCAATTTAATTATTTTAGAATGTACTTGAAATGTGTATTCTGGGGTTTACTACGACGACACCGGTCAAAATTTCCCACAGAAAAACAATTATAAGCAACTTAATGTACATGTGCCCTTTAAATTGGAGACAACATTGGGGTGGACGAAAATCGTTTGACCACCCTATGATCCGACGATCAATTAAATTTGGTATATAATATACAATTGTTGTAATAGTTTTTAACAACAAAATTTATAGTACAAAATCGTACATTTCCATGAATCATTATGTTTCCCTGCTAAAATAATAATAAATAGTTAGTATAAAATTCAAACTTTACTCTATATAAATGCATGCGGGAGTATAAATAATTATCAAATACAAATAAATGAAATCTAGGATTATATAAAATGATACATTGCACATATCTAATTTTCAATTATCAGATTCAGAACTTAATTAAAATTGTAAGCACTATGCATGCCTATATTATAATAGTTGGAAACCATAAAAATAAAAATAAATGTACCTTATATAGTTATACCTACCATTACGTATATAGGTATATATTATGTTTAAAATATAAAATAATACACACTCACATAAAAACAAATTTACCTAAACTAATTTATGAAGTGTTTATGTGTTGTGACTGGTGATCATCACCATTCGTTGTACAAAACAATTTACAATTTAATTATTTTTATCCATGCTTTAGCCACCATATATCCGGTATGTCTATTGTAATAACATATTACATAGGATGTATTCTTAGGATATCAGTATTAAAAATTAAATTTTTCAATTCTACCTTTATAGCCAATATTAATCCAAACGTTTTTCAACAAGTTCTCTAGCGTTCTAATCTATTGTTTCCGTACATGTGGAATGCATCGTTTGTAAAATATAACATTTATATTCACGTAATAAGTATTTCGTAGATCATTAATTGGGCTT